ATAAAATGATGCAAACTATGCTTCTCTAGGATAATTATAATACAGTACCATTCATTGCAGCCTATACAATAATGTAATTTAGTCTAACACAGTTGACCCTAATTTTTGACACATCCATTGTTTAAAAATACACATGGAAGAAAACCCAATATCCTCACAATGTACCAAGAGCTTTTTAGTAACAAATGCTTTTTGTTGTGGATTCTTGGCATACATGTTATTCTCATTTAGGGCCCTCTTTAGCCAGAATCTCTTAAATGCTTCATTGTTGTAATAACATTTAATTTCCTTATTTTCCATATACTGGCCCTGATAAAATAAAATATAGCACCTTTCATATGATAGGAACCAACAAAGAAATTTTTCTTTAACTTTCTCTTTATATTTTATTGTAAGTAGCCAGTGGAAAATTCATTTATAGATCATTTCTAGGCAAATTGTGAAGCTAATCACCGACCTGTTTCTGTCTATAATGGGTCTTTTTGTTTTACTAGCATTGGGCATCGTGGTCTCTTAAAGAGAAAAAAAAGTTGCCATTCTGTATTTAGTTGCATCCATATATTATGTTGCTGTATTTTGTTTTATTAAAAAGTTTACATAATAAACAATGTTGTGATGTTAAAATAACCACACCAAAAATTAAGACATTAAGCCAGAATGCACTTCAAGATCACATCAGGGACAAATAAGATATCCCAATATCTCAGAGTATGACATGCCATAAGGTAGGATCTGGCACCAAAAATCAAAGGATCTTCCATGGAAAGACCCCGAAAAGAAAATTTCTTCTGCCTGAGTACTTAGTTTAGGCTCTGATCTCACAAATGCCCAGATATTCTTCTGTCTGCCTCTGATTTATCAGAAAGGGGTAAAGACAAAGAGACCTAGAATCTGAGAACCAGCTGCTTATATTATGAGGGGAGTGGGGGATGGAAGAGAATGTTCTTAGAAGACCATGGCCAAGGGCAAGAGGGAGTCAGGGTTGGACTCAGAAGAGAGCACAGGAAGAGAGGCTCTGAAGAAAGTAAATGGACATGAACCACCACTTACCAGAAGCTGCAGTTAAGACAGAGACCAGAATATAAAGGTGATGGGTCTCCCCAGCTGGTTCCCTCAGGGGTGAGGGAAAGAAGATCCTTATTGAACAGGACATAGATGGAGCTTGGGGAGCAAAAGAAGAAAGAGGAGTCAGTAAAGGGGGGGATGATTTTACTGGTTTAGGAACCAGTTGCCTAGAACATTGAAAGGAAAAGACAAGCCCAGGGACTAGGGTGTCAAGTAGCTAGTCAGCCATGATGGGTGAGCAGGGCAGGGACAAGGAAGGGAGGCTGAAAACTGAGGCTGGCCAAGGCCCTGAATGTTGGGCAAGACTCCCCTCCCTCTCACTCCCCTTCCTCCCCACCAGCCTCCCTGGATAACTTGATGGTGGCGGTGACTGGTCTGACCCAGGACCCAGGAACCTGTGGGCTGCTGGTCTCCTAGCCCACTGCTGCCCATCCCAGCCAAAGCCAATGCTGAGGACCTGGCACCTTCAGGGGGTAGCAGGAAGGGCATGGATGGCGCTCATTCCACAGAGGCTGGCCAGGGCTTCCAGGGTCCAAGAAGGTGTGTGGATGCCCAAGAGCTCACCCACATGTTAGGGAGTGGAGCCACGCAGACCAGGCCCTCAGTGACCGCTCCTGCTGGCTCCTGGAGACCACACCTTGTCCAACAAGGCAAAGGCCTTAACCACTCTGGAAGGTGAGAGAAGCCCCTGAAAAAGGAGATTGGAACCAGCAGCCACCCTCCAGCAGGAACTCTTCCTTCTCCATCACAGAGAACCAGAGGAACATACTCTATTTGGCCAATGGGAAATGCCTACCACCTGCTGGGAAGCTTTAGTGCCCTTTGTAGAAGACCTATGTGTATAATAGGATAAAACTGCTCTCAACCTCCCCTGCCCTGCCTTGTGCTAAATACTTCTACTGCAAAATAATTAAGCACACAGTGGGAGTCCTTAACCCTAGAAAGGACCAGTGAAGCTTAGCCAGTGAGGGGGCCTGGCAGGGAGGTGGTGGGAGAGGATTACTGGAAAGGAAGGTTTTTGTTTGTTTGTTTGTTTTTTAGAGAGAGAGAGAGAGAGAG